CTATTTCGGAAATCACCACATTTCCTCATCAGACTTCTTTCGGTAGGATTCGAACCGACGATCCCACTGATCCCAGGTGTGTGAGCACACCTAAAAGTTAAACATTCTAATATTAGAAAATATTAACAAAAGCAACGAAACCAACAACCACACGATCAAGTGAATTGCAGCGGAATAGCTGCGCTTGATTGTAGTTGGCTTAGCAAGTGAAACAGTGAAAATAAGCAACAAGAATTAACAAGGCAAACTAAACACAGTGCGTAGGCAACTGGCTGAGTAAGTGGGATCGTCGGTTCGAATCCTACTGAAAGAAGTCTGATGAGAAAATGTGGTGATTTCCGAAATAGCTATCACTTCTACCATTTTTTCAAATTATTGTTGCTTTTCCACAATAAGTTTTCATTAAAAACGGCCTCGAGCTCAATAAAAATTGTTGAATATAATTGTCATAAGGCCATAAAATAACAAAAACAAATTTACACATTCATGTTTCTGGCATGCGGGGGACGATATGTACTTCCCGATTTGTTTTACAAAAAATTATTCAAATTATTGTTGCTTTTCCACAATAAGTTTTCATTAAAAAACGGCCTCGAGCTCAATAAAAATTGTTGAATATGAATGTAAAGATGAAAATTTTGGGATTTTTTTGTAAGATGAAAACACCGTTAGACAGCAACTAGACAAAGTTACACTTTCAAAACGTTATTGACACGTTGTTTGCGCAGCCTGTTTATTTTTTAAGTTTCAAGTGAATTTTTTTTATAAAGTTGGAATAGTTATTTAAAAGAACATTTTAAATGGAAAACCAAAAAAAAGTGAGTACCTATGTCTCAATTAAAACAAGAAAGAGCAGCGCTGTCTTCGGCTATGCCGAAGGCTTCATACCTTTCATGAACATCTGCAAATTTTACTTTGACAGATTACTGCTTTTGAATACATCGATAGAGGATTTACATACTTATATATGGAAGATATACTTTATATGGCACCAATCTAAGTGATTTTCACTGCTATGTGATCGGTAT